CCCAGCTCCCCATGCCTCAGTTTCCTTGTTTTTAAAAACAGGAAGACTAAGTCTCACCCCTTAGGACTGTTGTGGCAATGAATGAGTGGCACACATGCACACTGGGATGCCTGTTCCCTGGGTCCCTCGCCACTGCCATGCTATTGTATCCCCCGACCGGGCCGCAAGGCGGGGGCAATCTGGGGTGGGGTTCTTCCCTGCAGGGGCGAGGGAGCAGGGCTGCTGAGCCAGGAAGGGCCACCAAGGCCAACGCGTGCAACCCTACTCTGGTCAGCAGCCATGACTCCGGAAATAAAAACGAGGACAATTTGAAATCCAGGCCCCAGTGAGTCTGCGAGGAGCACACGAACGTGGGTCCACCAGAAGCCATCAATAATGCCCCTTTGTTCTCAGCCAGAGACTTCCTCCGGAGGCTCTTTCAGCTTCCTGGCCTTCCACGTGACCAGAATGGAGTCAGCTCACCTACCTTTAAAAGGTGTGTGTTTCCCTTACGTGTTAATGGCAGTTCTTAACTCCTTACGACACGGAAAGGTGCTCAGCCACGCTGGCAGGGGAGCTGAACGCCGCACACACCACGGCGGGAGGGAAGACTCTGGAGGAAACGCTCTTGGGTCCCCTCCTCGCTTTGTGACCCTAGCCAGGAAAGCCAGTTGGCCCCTCTGAGCCTTAGTTTCCCCATCTGTAGAATGGGGCCCGCTGTGAGGACGGAGACGGCACCGTCAGCTGCCAGCCGTGCCATGGGCACCTGGGCGCCGTCCAGCCACTTTCCCCGAGCAGTCAGCACCGCTTTAAAAGCTTGTGGCCAAGGCACAGTATGAGGAAATAAATAATGAATCGGAGTCCCACCAGATGCCAGCGGCGGCAGACAGACTGGAGCCGGGGATGAGAACACCAAAGTCGCGGAGGCAGGGCTGGGGGGGTCGTGGGAGGGAAGTGGATGACTGGGCCGGGACAGGCTGGGTGGGGGAGGGAGGTGTGTGGCCTCACGCCTTCCAGACCGACCCTCACCCTCGCCCCCGGCCTAGGGCCCTGGGGAGAGTGGCGGCCTCTTCCTGCCACTTTTACAGTGGGTGCAGCTGCAGAACATCCACCCACGCCACCCCAACAAACCCCACCCTGTGTGAGCACCTACTATGTGCCTGGCCTGAGACAGTGCCTTCTTCTGTCCCTCACCCAATGCTGGAGACTGCTGGGGGCCCTCACTTCACAGACAAGCACACAGAGGCTCAGAGGGGGGTCACTAAAATCCAGGTTTGGGGGCTGCAGAGGGCCTGCTTTTTCTGTTTGGCTGCCTTCACTCTCTCCCACTGGAAGACTCCCCTCAGCCCCTCTCTCCATGCCAGGACGGCTTCTATGTATGGAGTTTGTTTTTGTGATTTTGTTAGGGGTTACATATCAAACATCTTGAAATAAGGGGGCCCCATCTCAAAGCCTACTTTGCAAAATGGAGCCCTCTGCCTTATATTCCTCTTATGCCGCAGAGCCTGCCTTAGAAGAGAGAGAGCCGGGAGTCGGAGCCTGTGTTCAGACCCAGCTGCAGCAACCTGTCTGGCCCTGGTACGCAGCCCTCTGAAGATTTAGTTCGGCTCTGAACTGAAGGATCTGAAGTTTTTTGCACATTTCCAGATCTGAATCATCGAGCCAACTTGGGCTCTGTTCTGTTCCTCGGATGACAGAAGTTGTCTCGGGTGGGGTGGACCAAGGGACACTTCTCCATCTGTCTGTTCGTTAACACCTACTTATTACCCACCTGCCCTGTACCAGGTCTGGGACCAGAGAGGACCAAGACCCAGTCTTCCTGGAGCTGGCAGTCTGGGGAGGAGAGGTGCTGGGGAGCCCGAGCAGGACAGGCGGGGCAGAGAGGAGAGGCTCCAGGCTACCCACAGGAGGCCCTGAAGGTTGTCCTGCCGCTCCAGCGGCAAGGTGGTCTCTTTCCAACTCACACAAGGTAAAACCTTCTCAGTCTCCTGTCATTTCTTCTTAACAACCCCCTGCCCTCTTATCTCCCCTGGCTCAGAACTTGCTGCCTTTTGTTTCTGGCAAATGCTTGCAGAAGCTCAAACAGATGAACAGAAGGTAATCAGATACAGGCAGGAAAAATGCAAACTATCAGCCAAATAGCCTTAGACGGACATTTGCTTGCTTTTATGGGTGTATGAGTGTGGCTGTGATTTCAGCATGCATACTCACGGCATCGCTTTGTTTCCCACTATATTGCTTCATGATTCCCAGGATGAAAGCCACTATATCAAATGATCCTGGTGTCCTACCAAGGGCTCCATGGCTTCCGGGGGCTCTGTTGTTGCAACACCCTTGTTTTGGAAGATGGAAGCTCCCAAGCTGGGGCAGGGCAGGCGATGCTGCAGGGGCAGGTGTGGGGGTCAGATCCCAGCCCTGCCATCTACTGGCTGTGTGATCGTGGATGAGTTTCTTTATCTCCCTGAGCCTCAGTTCAATAATAAAACAGGAACAATATCATCTGCCTTGGAAAGTTGCTGGGAGGGTTAAAGAGATGTACAATTACCCAGCAGGTAGTAGGTGCTTAATAAGAGTAACTATATGATCACTTATTATTTTTTTTAAGAGGCAGAGTCTTGCTCTGTCACCCTGGCTAAGTGCAATGGCATCATCATAGCTCACTGCAACCTCAAACTCTTTATTCATTCATTTATTTATTCATGTATTTTGAGACAGAGTCTCACTCTGTTGCCCAGGCTAGAGTGCCATGGTGTCAGTCTGGCTCACAGCAACCTCAAACTCCTGGGCTCAAGCGATCCTCCTGCCTCAGCCTCCCAAGTAGCTAGGACCACAGACACATGCCACCATGCCTGGCTAATAATCACTTCTTTATGTGGCTGTCCCTTATACATTTCTAAGCACCTGTGTCCAGTCCAGGCCCCATACCGGAAGCTGGGGACAGAGGTAAATCAGATCAGAAGTGCAGTCTAGAGTTCGAGGGAGCGTTTGTGCTCAGGGGGCAGAGAGGAGCGTTGGCAGGTGGGCTGACTACAGCAACCCTCCCTCATTCTCAGGTTAAGCCTTGGCTGAGGGCGCTGAGCACCACCTGAGTTGAATGAGCTACACAACTCTCCAGAAATGGCGGGTTTTGAGTAGCATTCGACAGGAGGAGGTCCTCACCATCTGGTCCTTTTGGTAGGCAAAACCTGTCACAGCCATACTGGCCCAATTTGGCACTTTGTGACTTCTGTCTGTTCCTCCAAAATAAAATAAAACATGCAAAGGAAAGAGATCCGACACCTCCAAAGCCATCCAATCTGTCACCACAACCCACTTGAAGGCAATCTCAGAAAAGGAGCCTTGGCAAGTGGCAAGGGACAAATGTGGGTGTGTGGGAGGGAAGCACTTGGAAGGGGATTACTCTCATGATGTCACACACGATCTGTTTATTTGCTTGGTGGTGGAATCTTCTGGTATAGCGCACAGCACAGGTCTGAGCAAGGTGCCCTGGGTGGCCGGGGAGTGGGACTCCAGACAGCCTGGCTGAAGACGTCCAGGAGGAAGGACTGTTGAGGCTGGGGGGAAACAAGTCCTTCCCAGGCAACAAGACCCTGGGGGCAGCCTGGATAAGCCAGGTACTGGACACTTGGCGTGTCTCTGGGTGGCCCCACCTGCCCTCATTCCTGCCCACCCACAGCTGCCTCCCCGCCCTGCGGCCGCCAATGACGACATCCCGGCCTAAGCCCCTCTCAGCAGCAGCCCCTCCGAGGAGCTATTTGCAGAGGCCCACCACCATTTGGGGCCGGGGCTTTGCACGCAAGTGTTTGCTTTTAAAAGGAGAGAAAGAGAAGCCACAGCAGGTGCCTCCACTTCCACCCGGCCCCACCCCGCCCTGGGAGGGCTCCCCGGGATCTTTGTGCCGTGTGTGCATGTGTGTGTCTGAGTGTTGGCGTCATCCCGGCATCTGCTGCCCTGTGACAAGGGCCTTTGAAGCTCCACAATGACGCCATCTGCCAGGGACAGCCGGCTGGCTTGTACACTCGGAGCTGACCCCACGGTTTCCATGGCAACCAAGGTGGCTGCATGGGGCCTTCAGAAAAACCACCAGGCTAATGATGTCAGGAGGTTCCCTGCAGCAGCGTGGCCCACAAGCCTGGGGACTCCATTGCACACACCTGCGTAGAGGTGGATGGGCAGAGACGGAGTACAGGCTGGTGGCCGAGGGGGACAAGGAAAAGGAGTCATGGAGGCATTCGGTCTCTGGGGAATGAAGGAAGGGTCTTCCCCCATAGTTTCCTGGAAGCTCCTGCTCTCAGAACATCAGTGGCTCACCTCAACCTGACCTGTCCATCACCCGTCAACGGAAGTGAGCCCACTATTGAAAGTGTGAAGAAGCTATAGAAGCAATACGCTTTTCAATTGCTGTCTGTCTTCAGGCCTCAGTTCCCATCTGTGTGGTAGGGAGGTATACCTGTCTTTCACCTCATGGATACTTCTTGGCTTACCAACCATCAGCCTGGCCTCCTGGCTGAAGTTAGGCCCTCTGCTTGTCCGTTCCACCAAGACGCCGTGAATGGGAAGGCAGGAAACAGCATGCTTGAGAAATACTCAGCACAGAAGAGAAACTGACGTCAGCTTTGAAGCCTGCCCAGAGGAAACCTGGGGCATGGGTAGGCACACGGAAAAAAGAAGACAGAGGGAGGGAGGAAAGCCAAAGACACAGACCACATCGCAGCTATTAACTGGAATATAGGCATGGGGAAAAAATGCAGTGAATCTTCACTGTAAATTTAGACATAAAGGATAAGCCTGTAAGAATAATTTCTGTAAAACAAACTGCAGAAATCATAAACATTCTGGTGAGTCATGAGCAGATCTGCTACAGGAATTAAGAATGGTTTAGTGGCATTCCCGCCTTGAATGTTTCTAGGGAAACGTCACGTACTGATGTGTTTCTGATAGCATGCTCAGCGGCCACTTGGGGCCGGGCCTCGGGGCTATCGGCCAGCAACCCAGCCGCTGCAGGCTCCGGTCCCTGTTTCCTAGCCGAGGACAGGGCCCGAGGGGGAGGGCGCCCACGGTGGGGCCGGCGGCGGCGGGACCTGCGGCCCACTCACCGAGGGGGGGGGGGGGGGTGTGAACCCAGGGGGGGGGTGTACACGCGCTTGCCGTCTCTCCGTGTTACTTGACCGTGATGGTGCTGAGGTCGTAGCGAACCAGAATGGCAAGGGAATGATCCGTGTCCGCGCCTGTAGGCAACGTACTTCGGTGCAGCGAGTGGGGAGCGAAGCGTGAGAATTCCAGAATGTACACACTGTTCAAGGTGGGTGGGGTGCACTGCGGAGGGCGCCTGGCAACCTGGGAAAGGGCTCCCCTCTCCTCCACCGAGCCAGACTCCTCCGTTCCTTCCCTCCATGGTCCATCCCTGCGGGCCCAGGGCTCTGCCATAGCATCTGGGCGTTTCTGCCCCTCTGGCTGTTAGAAATCGACCAGCAGCAGCACCAGAGTCAAAATATGAATGTGAAGGCAGAGATGTAAACGGGAAAGCGTGACTGGGGCTCAGTCCGGGTAAGGGCCTATTGCCCCTTCAGCTCCCAGGCCGAGCCGAAACGTCCATTTGTTCAGCGAGCTCGCTGGGCAGCTCCGCTGTGGGCCCCTCCTGGCCTTGCTGGCTGCTGGGGACCCTGAGGGTGAAGCAAAGCCTCTCCCC